GTAAGTTCCCCCTTCCTTCTCTTTTTTCTTTCCCGGCCATGTCTTCGTTTAGCGATAGGATCTCGTCCTCAGAGGACTGCTCCTCTGAGGACTCCACCTCATCTTCCTCGACCGGGTCTTCTTCTCCTGAATCCACGCCCGGTCAGGTTCCCCACTCCTCTATTCCCGACCCGCATCCTGTTAATCAGATGCCCGGTGAAACGTTCGTGGGGAGGGATGACCCAGTCGATGACGAACCGGGCCCCTATGACCCTGAAAACGAAACCCGGGATGCGTGGGAGGAACGACTTCATGCTGCCGGTTACTTTCCGCTCCCCACCTTCTACGTCCTTGACATCCCTTCCCGTGTATCCAAAATCGCCTTGAACAAAATTCGTAGGAGGCTCCCGGATGGGTATACCCTCCTCTATGAACCCAACTGGCCCAACATTGTCGAACCCCACCGGGAGGACAGGATAGGGTTCCATACCATATCACTGGATGCGGGCATAGTTTTTCCCCTTCGCCCCCTCCTAACCGAAGTATGCCACACGTTTAGGATTTTGCCCGGTCAAATAACACCTAACGCCCACCGGTATCTCCATTCCTTTGTAAATATCTGTACTCATTTGAAAATCTTCCCCTCTTTGCGTCTTTTTCTCTTTTGCTTTGAAGTCCTACTGGGCGGATCTGGCTGCGAAGGTTTTGTATTCTTCAAAGCCCGTACCGGTAGGAAGTTCATTTCTGAAGTCCTCCAGAGTAACCGGGGATGGAAGGAAAAGTTTGTTTTCATCGAGTTTCCCCCCTACGTCACTCCTTTGGCCGGTCTGAAATGGAACGAGCATCTCCTCGACCAAGAGTATGCTGCACCGGCTTCCTCCCCAGACTTGGAAGCGAATCTTGAGGTCCTTATGCGCGGGGATCCTTTCACCGGGAGGATCTTCCATTATGGCAGCTGGGTTTGGAGGGTGGAGTCGGGTGGTGAGGATACCTCCCAGGCCCATGAAGCAGCGGGGCGCGGGGTACCCTCCCCGAGCAACACTGCAGAGGCTGAGGGCCAAAACCACCCAGGTATTTCTCATTTTTCTTGTGTCTCGTAGCTGACCGGTGTCTCTCCTTGTACTTAACGATTTTAGCTTCTCTTGCAGATATGGAGTTCAAGGAGTTCGCCATCCCTGACGACCAACCAGTCGGGGAGACCGGGGGCTCCCAAGCCAATACTGCCAGGACCTTCCCGGTCAATCCAGAGACCGTGGAAATCCTCGACGAAGATGAGCCCCAAGACAACCGGTCTAAGGGGAAGGAAAAGGAAAAGACCGGTCGACGGATGAAGAAGGTGGCCACCACACACCCTTCCTATGCCAAGAAGAGGGCAAGGTCGGATCCTGAGCCGGCCGGCCAGACCATTGAAGAGGCCTTCATTAATCTGGGGCTGAGGCTGAAGGAGGTAAGTCCTGCCGCTATCCCGGTCTTTATTTTCCTTTTCCTCTATTGAGAAACTTACCGGTATGTTTCGTTTTTGTGCAGGCGGGGGAGATTGGGCCGCACACAGTGGACCGGTTGGGGATGAGTTCCCCTTCTGAAGTCGACCGACTGAAGAGGGAGAAAGAAGAGATGGCCCTTATCTTGAAGAGCCAGGCTGATGAGCTGATCAGGCTGTCTGGGCTAGCCGGGGCCATGAAGACCGAGATCTCCCAGCTGAAGGAGGAGAATGGCCGGCTCATGGATGAAGTCTCTGAGGCCAAGAGGGAAGCTGCGGAGAAGGAAGAAGCATTCCCCGGGCGCGCTGTCGCCTGGGTTGAAGAGAACAAGGCCGCTGCTGCCCGGGTGATGACGGCGACGCCGGAGACCGCGATGGAGTCCTTCAGGCTTCTGTACCGGGAGCCTGAAGGAAGGAAAATGATTACCGCGATTGGATCCTTCGGATTCAAGAGCGGTCAAAAGAAAGACCGGATTGTTGGAATGCATGAGTTCAACCCTTTCTGTGTTGTTAAGTCTTGACTCACAGGTTTTGATAATTGACAAACACAATTTATTCAAGTCAAGATCAAAGTGCTACAACGACAAACACGAAGACTTGAAGTGCCATTCCTTGAAGTATTCAAGAAGGTGCACAGGATTTTATTGAAGTCCGAGACACGTTCGGAGCGCCTAACGGAGGGCTCGGAGGAGTAGAAGATTTCCGAAGACTTTTATTTATTTGAGTCGTAGGAATTTTTGTAAGGATGACAAGAATATCTTCTCTCCAAAATTATTTTTATGAGAGTTAAAATAAAAATTATATTTATTTTTGGAGTCAGTTGAAAAATCTTTTTAACTGTTCAAAATAGTTTTATTGAGTCAGTTACAAAAGGTGTGCCAAACATTTATCAAATAATTATTTTGATATTATAAAATATTTTTGGTAAGCAAAAATATTTTATTCAAATATTTTTTTGTGTACATCGTTTGACACACAAAATAATTTTTGTACTCACTTTTACTCCCTTATTCAAATTCATTGAATAAGAGAGGAGGAGCGTTCTCTGATTCCCGTTGTCTCA